GCCTATCCCCTTAGTGTGCCTTGCCTCCACGACTTACTTATTGATGTAAACATTCATAAAAAATAGTAGAAGTATAGCCAGTTGAGCGTTGGATCCGTGGACATAAAGCTTCGGTTTGAACTACGTAAATATTGTGTCATCTCTTCTTCTCTTTCCATTATTCATCGTATGCTCCCTCGAATTCTAAAATGGTTTTGCCAAAATATCATGAATCGGCCAGTTTTGGTTATTTCTTTAGAAAACTGGTCATATTTTTATTTTTTAATATTTTTAATTTTTTTTGTTCTATATTGTTTTAAATTCTATTGGCCAGGTCGCCAATCCAAACTAGTTTTCCGTTTGGGCAATTCGGGTCAGCGATCCATGTTTTTAATATAATTACAATTTACCATTAAAAAAAGAGCTACTAATTCTAGATAACCATATACATTCTTTTTCCATGCCTTCTTGGATCTAGAAAAAGCATGAGTTTAAATTTTGATCGTTGCAAAACTTCATATAGCATGATCGCCGTTTGAATCCATGCTTCTAGTACCCAAGTTCTTGAGATGCAATTTTATCAACTGCACCTCATTTTTTGGTAACAATTTGGGTACCAATGTAAAAGCAAAGGTAAAACAGCTTGAGTTTGAGGGGGAGTGTTAGGATATGGATATTTTGGGTTCATATTGATGGTAATGCATCTTGAGTTTGAGGGGGAGTGTTAGGATATAGATATTTTGGGTTTATATTGATATACATCATTATGGATGTATGGGTATATATCTCTTGATAATGTTAAGTATCTAAAAGATAGAGACCTAGTTACTTGGTCATCAAATTATTGTACCATATTTATCTCATGTAATTGTGTGATTGTCTTCTATATATAGATGCACTTATTGATGTATACATTCATCCAAAATAGTGAAGATGTAGCCAGTTGGGCTTTGGATATGTGGACGTAAGGCTTCGGCCTGAGCCCGAACCATGTAAATATTGTGTTCTCTTTTATTCTCTCTCCATTATTTATCGTATGCTCCCTCGAATTCTAATATAGTTTTGCCCCTCGAATTCTAATATAGTTTTGCCAAAATATCATGAATTGGCCAGTTTTGGCCATTTCTTTAGAAATCTGGTCCCATTTTTATTTTTTAATATTTTTAATTTTTTTGGTTCTATATTGTTTTTAATTTCTATTGGCCAGGTCGCCAATCCAAACTAGTTTTTCGTTTGGGCAATCCGGGTCACCGATCCATGTTTTTAATATAATTGCAATTTACCATTAAAAAAAAAGCTACTAATTCTAGATAACCATATATATTCGTTTTCCATGCCTTCTTGGATCTAGAAGAAGCATGAGTTTAAAAAGAATTTTGATCGTTGCAAAACTTTATATAACATGATCGCTGTTTGAATCCATGCTTCCAATACCCAAGTTCTTGAGTTGCAATTTTATCAATTGCACCTCATTTTTTGGTAACAATTTGCGTACCAATATAAAAGCAAAGGTAGATTGGGCTCTCCAGTAATCCACCCAGTATAAAAATAAGAGAAATTTATCAAAATACACTTAATTTTTCAAAAAACAAAAAATGCAATTCCAAATTTTGCCTAGAGATTTAGTTTTAGTGTCCAAAATCTCATGTCTTGAAAATGTATTTTCAAATTTTAAAATAGGTACAGATCGACCAAATCTATAATCACTTCAAAATCTTAAAAATAGATGGTCGAGATAACTTTTAGGATATGAAATTCTAATTTTCTTTGTATCCATATGCCTTGAGGTAGAGATGATCAATTGGTTTTCCAAAATCATATCATTATTCTATAGGATTTTTGAGGTGCACAACTTGCTTAAATGGTATAAGGTTGACATTTTGTATAAAGTTTTTCCAAAAGAAAAAGTTTATATATAAGGTTGCAACCTTATACTGTCGAGGTAAGATACACCTAAAAAATGTAGTGGAAAGATGTATTATAGAGTTGGAAAATCTTTTAATTGATCATCTCGACCTTGAGATGCATAGATATATAAAAAAACAATAATTTTAAGTCTAAAAAATAGTGCATATTGTAATAAGTTATCTGGACAGTCTATTTTCAGATTTTTAAGTATCCATAGATTTGTTAGATTGGGACTATTTTCAAACTAAAATTTACAATTAAGGTTAAATATGGAATTTTAAGCGACCATAAAATTTTTGACACTAAAACTACATCATTCGATAAATTTTAGAGGTACGTTTTACTTATTCAATATAAGGTGGGCACCTAAATGTTAAAGAGTTAATTCCTTGTGAATGTTTTCGATAACATTTCCTAAAAATAACAATTTAAATCAATATATTAGAACCTCACAATTATTGATATGGATCGTCGATCTAGATAGAAATCGATTGGAACCAAACTGGTTTCAAGATCATAAGGGTCATAGGCCTATTTCCCTAAAGAGCCCCTTAACATATTTTTTCGTTTTCCTCTTTTTTTATATATATTTTCTTTAAATTCATGTATTTTTTAGTCCCTTAAATTCCTACCCATAAATTTTTAATTTAATTGTTTTATTTATTAATTTATATTTTTTCTTAATTACCTGTTTAGACTGATCCAAACTAATCTGAACCGCCTATTCCACAATCTGACATGGATCTTAGGGGTGAATGATTTCACCCCCCTCCGCCCGTTCTGTTTTCAAACATTGTTTGAAATGGAATAAAAAGAAAAAAAAACTTAGCATATACGCTAAAAAGATATATATTATTATGAAAATAGAAGTCCGGCAGGCGTGGGAAATAACAATAATTACGCTGAGATCAAAATCAAATCAAATCAAAAAATAAAAAAATATCGATATTATTCTCTGCAACTCATTATTAATCCAAATATTTTCCCCCTCTCTCTCTCTCTCGACTTTCTCTCTCTACAAATGCACATTTAGCGTGGGCCCCACGCGGAGGGTGGCCCTGTCGGCTAATCGCCAGACACTGCCGTACGTCTTCGACAGCGACGTCCGGGCGGACGCCAAACCCTCGACCCAAAACCCAATTCCATAAAACGCTTTGGGTCCGGAGTTGACGTGGCACGGCCGGCAATGGGGCCCGCATGTCGGCTTATACGGCGACATTTGATTGGCTACCGAGCCCGAATCGGCCACGTGGTAGGACATGTCGGGCGCGGGACATTCCCCACCTTCCCCCTCGCTTAAACCTCGATTACTTTTCCCCACCCATCGTTATCTGGCGAACAACTTCCACCACACCGTATTTTCCTATAATACCCTTATATTATTCTTTAATGCCATTTGGTCCATTAATGGACCGGTTGAAACATGAAGCGTATATGGGAGGTGAATCGAGACGGGGGCAAGGTCGTTATTGTGGGGCTTTATGGGGTTAAATCAAGGAAATTTCTTTTGTCATTTAGAAAATTGTAAAGGGTAGGGAAATGTCCAACCATTGTTTTTCTCTCCTACTCCGACTCTACCTCCCTTTCTCCACTGGTTATGAAAGTCTTCTCTGCAACTTTTTAGAGAGAGAAAGAGAGAGGAAAGAGTCTCCTTTATGAGAGAGAAACAGACCCCAAGTCTTTTAGAGTGAGAAAGAGACCAGTTTTCCACAGAGAGAGCGACCAATGTTTTTTAATAGAAAGAGACGCCAAGTTTCACAGAGGAATGAATCAGGCTTTCTTGTGAGAGATATATAAGGCCAAGTTTAGAGAGAGAGTCATTGCTTGCCTAGAAAGGGACCCAAGTTTTCTCGAAAGAGGAGCAGAAAGGAAGAGAACCCATTTTTACGAGTCTTTGAAGAGAGAGAAAGAACCCAATCTCTGTTTTACCAGTCCTTGAAGAGAGAGAAAGAGGCAAATATCAAAGATACAGAGACCATCCTTAGAGACAACCCAATATGCAGTCTTGTTCAACAAATGGTTCCATGTCTACTGTGTCGAAAGTGGACACAGGGGGTTTGACAGAGCAGGATTATATTGGTTTATCGGAGGTGACCTCTTACCCCAAGTCCTCTGTGTTAAAAGAAGCCATGAATGGGCTCCAGGAAGAGGAACTGAACTTGGGTTTGAGCTTAACTTCGTCTTCTTGTGGGGTTAAGAGAGGGGTCTTAGAATCTGAGTTCTCCAAGGGTCGGTGGGGTGGTAATGCTAATTGGATTCAGACCCAAGAGAGAGAAAGAGGTACGAGGTTTCTGACTGCAAAGGATTTTCCTGGTTCGAGCGGTGGCTGTGGAGCAAAGAGGGTTCACAATGATTCGTCGGTTCAGGAGGTTACTTCGGTTCCCAGGTGGGTCAGAGAGAGAGAGAGAGAGAGAGAGAGAGAGAGAGAGAGAGAGAGAGAGAGAGAGAGAGAGAGAGAGTAGTAGTAGTAGTAGTATGTCGTAGTTAGTTAGTTAGTTAGTTTAGTTTAGTTTAGTTTAGTTTAGTTAGTTTAGTTAGTTAGTTAGTTAAGTTAGTTAGTAGTAGTAGTAGTACGTAGTACGTA